TGCTCTCCAACGTCATCTACACGTTGATTTTACCTATTATTTGGTTATGTTTAGACACTAATTTGATTGCACTGGTTTTGATATTTGTTGGGTTATCATCCAGTCGCCCTTCTTCTTCTAATATATATTCTTCCTCGATGTGAATCACATTTTAAAAAGCTAAATGTTTTCAGGATTCCAAGGTGACAACTTCTAGGTGATTTGAGATTTCATATTCATTTCATATTATGTGTCTTGCTTTCTCTTTATACTGAGATAGATGATTATACGGTTTCAATGATTGAAGTTAAGCTAAACACTATCTAGCTGTCTATGGTTTTATTCTCACTGAATGTATAGCACCTGCTATCATATGGCAAGAAGAACATTGTGCAGCTAACAGTGAACAGTAAGTGACTCTAGCCACAACAAGGTTAGAATTTAACATGTTATTTATATCTTATATTTAATATGTTATTCTGTTTTGGTCTTTTGTTTTTTTTAAACAACTATTTATTTATTACTTTTTAAAAATTCTGTTTCTTTTCGTCCGGGGCCATGTGTACATCATTTCGTTCCACTTCATGTAAACATGCGATGCGAATGACAATAAAGCTCCTTGAATCCTGATATGCTGCTGTGTGGTTTGAATGACCTGTTCCCAATAAGTCATAATCCTGAACATGATCACCACATTGACATTTTAACTGGCCCACTGATTCATTTATAAAGCTTTAATGGTGTCCATAGTTGTGTACACTGTCAGGTTTTAAAAACTGAACTTAGTAGTTTCTTAGTTTAGTTATATGTGCAGTGTTACAGTGATGGATGTTTATACAGTGGATGCTTACATAACTGACATTTCCAATAAAAGCCCAGGCATCAAACTGCTACAATGCTTCACTTCTGACTGTATTTTTCTACTCTTGCATTTGTGTCCCAGTTCTATCCTTGACATGTACTAATACAGCTATTCAAAAAACAGCAGTGTACAATGTACAGTGTTGAAAAGAGCCAGTACATCGTCACAATGCAAGCACACTATATGTGTATATGTTCATACCAGCTCATGTCCTGTTAGTCCCTCCAGCAGTTCTAGCAGGCGTCGCCCATCACACAGGTCTGAGAACAGGTCCTCCACAGGTGGTTTCCCTGTCTAAAGCACAAATACATCAAATGAAAATAAGAATGTGGATTTGTGGCAGAGTGTGGTCTCCAGCTCCCCTGCAGAGGAGGGCTGATGTGTGGTGTGCTGTGGGTTTGGGGGCAGTGCCACGGTGGCTGGCAGGGCAGGTGGGATGTATTGACTAATTATGCCTTTCATGTTTTTTCCTGTTTTTAGGAGCGTGCTGGGACTGGAGAGAGGACATCTGAAAAGCTGAAAGCGTGAATTAGAGCTGGAAACAAAAATAAAACATTCACCTGCCCTTCAACGATGTGTGGTCTAGGCATGTCACAGCAAGAATAACAACTTACATTTTCAAACTATGTACATTCCCAGTAGTATTTTCCTACTTTATACATTATTTCAAAAAAGAATCATAACATTGATAACTTCTAAAGATTATATTTCTGAGAAAAAGTCAGAATTCTGAATGAATGAATGAGCCTTTATTTGTCCGTTGCAGTTGCCTGCAACTGAGATGACAGATTTCTGAGATTAATATCAGAAAAAAGTCAGAATTCTGACTTTTTTCTGAGAATTCTGGAAAAGAAAAAAAAGACGAGCCCCCCCCCCCAAAGTGGCCCTAATCCTTTGTGTATTTGATGAGGAGCATGTGTTCTAAAAAAATCATGCACCACTAAATGCAATAGTGTGCAAACAGTGTGCAAATCAATTAAATTATTCCCTGGAGGACCAGGAGTGACAAAATAGCATATTTAATTATTTCATTTCGTTACTTTTGGCCCTCCATAGCCCTACTTGCTCAGAGGGCATAAGTATATAACCACTTCATTTGTGTTTATTCTACATACTAGCTGCTACTAGGCAAGTAATGATTTACTCTTTTCACGTTTGGTCAAAAGGAGGACTGAAAATGGTGGACACTAATGCTAACAAAACTCTGCTCTTTAGAAGTAAATGCTAATGGACAATTGTCATGATGTTGACCTAATAACAGATAGAGGTTTATTTATTTCCATTATTCCAGAGAGTACTTACACGAGCCTCTTTCCTAAATGTCAGTTTACTGAGCCAATTTCGGCACACATTAATATGCGTCAGTTGCTAGGGTTACATTTATTCACAGTACCACATTCATCTCTTGAGCGCAACACAGTCATAACTGTAACTGTGTCATTAATGACCCTCTGCACAGAGTCAACCTAAAGTGTGAAGCACTAACCACAGACTCCTCTGAAGACGCTGGCACAGGACATTCAATGGGCACAAAACAAATCAGATGCTGTCCGAGTACAACACAAACTTCAAACTTCGGTGTTACAGAATGAACTGGCACATCTCAAACATACTGTATCATATATCACTGTATCTCTCTGCATTTCTTGGGGCAGATCATCTATGTGGGAGAACAGTATCCCTTCTTACATATGGCAAGTGCCACTTGGCAAACATTTAAAATAGAAAGGAAACAGTTGAGGTGAAGGTGCAGAAAGTGCCACAATCATGGCCAAAAATGTGGTCCTGAACTTGTAAAGTATATATAATGTACACTGTACTGTCACGTCTGGCGAAGCAGACGGCGTGGAGTGGATGAGAATGAGGACCCAAGTACAGACAAACAAATGAATGAGAAGGTTTCAACTGAAGAATGAGCCTTTATTGGCTGCAGTACCAAAACACAAAAGGAATCAGAAAGGGAACTAACAAAACCCAAACTGGGAGCAGCTAAACTAAAGAACACCGGAAACATGGGAAAATGTTACAAAAACCTTAGAACCGGGAACGAGGAACCGGAGACACGAAAATGCAGACGAAACACTGGGGAAGACGCACAGGAGACAATGCAGACACATATATACATGAAGAAATGAGGAAATGGCAGACAGGCAGGGAACACAGCTGACACTAATCAGATGAGACAAAACCGGGAGGAAGCAAAAAAAGAGCACATTGACATAGGACACAGACTTTCAAAGTAAAACAGGAAACACACGACAGCCACAGAGGCACGGAGCTGATACTGAACAGAGGGAACACTGAGTACAGGGACAGGAGTGGCATGAGACACAAATGACTGGGGAACAAGAAGACAGAACTAAACCTACACTAAACACGAGGGGCACAGGACCAAAACCTAAGAAATCACAAACCAAGAAGAACTGGAGAGCTAGAAATACAAAACAGAAACCAAATCACAAGCAGTCAAAAACCATGAGAAATCAAAGATCAATAATAATACAAAAGTCAAAACACTGGGTTACCAACACAGGACCGTGACAGTTTCCCTATTTAGCAATGCAACATTTGTACATAACCATTTATTTTAGAGTGGCATTTCATGTCCCTATTCTTTATTAAAAAAAAATCTTAGAAGTATCTCAAAAGCAATGATAGCAGGAAGCTACATCTTTACTTTCTACAAAAAAGGGATGATCGTCTGGTTCTGCCGGAGGTTTCTTCCTGTTAAAAGGGAGTTTTTCTTTCCCACTGTCGCCAAAGAGCTTGCTCATAGGGGGTCATATGGTTGTTGGGTTTTTCTCTGTATGAATCATTGTAGGGTCTACCTTACAATATAAAGCGCCTTGAGGTGACTGTAGTTGTGACTTGGCGCTGTGTAAATAAAATTGAATTGAAAAAAAATTATTGAATCGTGGTGCTAGTGTGTTATAATAGTGAACAGAGTGTGAACTGTGTAGCTTCATACTGAAAAATTGCATAATGATACCTGAGCTGATGTTTGCTCTTTGCACAGCACAGGGGACACGGTGTAATTACAAATCAGCAGAAAAGGACTTCCAGGGAGCAAACTTAGAGAAGCACTGGAGGTGTCAAGGGTGTAACAAAAGCAGTTCAGCAGCTAATCTCTAATCAGCCAGTCACGTGGCAGCAAGCCGCTGCTTTTACACATGTGAGTGAGAGAAAGAACGACCGCTGGCTGAACTGCACAGGTTGATATCAACAGAGAGAGTGTGTTGTAATTCATGCACTTATCTTTTAATAAGAAAATCAAACAGGCCTTCATCATTTTTTTATTAGAAATTGTGTTTGTTGCATTAATTGTTTGAATCATTGTTACTCTAACCACTTACTCACGCTCTGCAGCCAGAAACTGACTAAACTATTTCTACTGTTAATTAAATTAAAGTGTGAAAGCCTAAAAAAATAACAGGTGAACTATTTGTTAACGATTTGTGTGACTTTTTTCCCCCTGAGACTTGTGCTGTAATTATCTTAAACAAACCGCACAGGTTCACACAGGATCTAATATAACCAATCATGCCCTAAGAAAAGGTTTAGGCAGTCACGATGGGGCCCATGTTAAAGTGAACCTGGCACCCTGGGCCATGCTGCCATAGATTTTGGTCATGGGTAACTGTTAGCTAACTAGCCGTGACATTAGTTTTAGCTTGGGTATTTGACACATTCAGTCCAAAAAGCAGTGTGTTCGTGCTCAGTGTGCCCCAGTGTCAGAACTACAGATGACTGTTAGTTCATCTCTGTCCTCAAAAACACAGCACTGTTACTGTGTTTTAATGGCATAAAACACAAGCCACCTTCAGTACCTTTGTGCTTATTTACTACACTCACTTAAAATCCATTCCAGATTACACTTGACAAAGATAGAAGCACTACTTTTATGTTTTATTGTGTAGTTAGTTAGTTATCAGTAGCTTATGTTTCATGTGACTCACATTTAATTCTATTACTGCCCTACACACACTTCTGCGCCTGCATTTCTAGTTCTCAGGGAAAGATTTTCCACATCTTAAAATACATTTCATTACAAACATTTACTTCCACGGACACATTTCCAGGTTCCTGTCTTTTTATATTGCTGCTCTCGGTATCAGACCATCTCCGACCATCATTGGGCTTGCTAATGTAAAAAACTAATTATTATTAGAAATTGATACTAAAAATTACTCATCTGTGTATGTACTAGATTTTAGACACCGACGTTTTTACATGCTTGTACATGTCTATAACCGATGATGTAACAGTTGTTTCACAATAGCTCACACACTTTGAGACCAACTTTCTAGTCTGCTTAGTTATTTGTCACCGTTACTACACTAACCGTATGGCTCCCTCCTCAGACTGTCCTTTGAGTGTCACTCTGCTTGCTCATCAGCTGATGAGCAAGCAGAGTGACACATTCATCACACTTCCCTGGGTGTGTTTCCCAGTGTTCTCTGTTTTTTGGACTTTTTAGTCTTTATTGTATCGTGTTTTGAGAAATGGATTCTTGATTTGTGTCTGGATTTATATGTGATTATAATTTAGTTCTTCTTTGTCTTGTCTGTGTCTCATATGTTTGTATTTTCTTCCAGCATCTAGTTTGCGTGTCTTGAATCTGGGTTGCATGTTTCCTGTCTTATTTTGAGAGTCCTTGTCTCGTATGCATTGCATTCAGTTTTGCTTCCCCTAGTCTCATTATGTCTAATTTGCTATAGCTGTGTTCCCATGTGTCTCCACGTCTTCTTCACCTTTCACCAAACTCTAACAACTTTATGACCAAACACCTTCCTGCTTACCCACCCTTTACTGCCTTCCAAGCTACAGTCCTTGTGCTCCTTTACTCCCTTCTGTTTCACCTGCTCAGCCTGCACTCTGCTGCACCTCAATTCACCGACCCTTCTTTCACCGCCAAAGACCTAGTTTTAAATAGTAAAACAAATGTAAACATAGGAAAGAATTCCCTCTCCCCGCACATTATTTTTGGACATGTAAAATTTAACATCTGACATCAGGAAGTTTCTCTTGTTCACTGGATGGTACTACCACAGATACTAGGAACAAATGTGGGAAACACATTAGAAAAGGTATTCACTCCTTATAACTTTGTGTTGTATGTAACTATGATCCACAACATTAGATTCAAAACACTTTACTAATTCTAGAGGGGAAATCTTTTTTTTTTTTCCAGGTGTTGTTTTAATACTGAAAGCTAGAAAATATAAAGTCTTTAGCCCTGCCCATTGATCAATAATGTAATTTTACTGGAACATACAATTGCACCAGGTAGAATA